GCTGAGTGGTGGTAGAGTTTTATTTAAGCCAGTGGGAACCAATTTTGAAAAACTGTTGCATTTGAAAAAGATTATCGTTAAAATACATGACGTAAAGTTACACTTTCCTTTATTGATCAAGTCACCACAAAACAGGGTTATGGTTAATAGCTTGAGGTTTTGAAAAGTAATTTTTTTTCCTGCTTCATGCATTATACTGTAAAATGTTTTTTTTTTTAATTTCTAGTCACATTGGAATATATTGGTTTCTAAAAGGCAGATTGATGAAAAGCTTCTGCATCTCTTAAGCATTTACATGCAATAAAATGACCACCATTCTTCTGTTACTATTCTAAAGATTATTGCCAGTGACATGGAGTAACTCTCAGGTGTGACAATATCTGTTACAACAGTTCAGTGAAGGATTTATCAACAGTAGGGTACCAGATGTTTCTAAATGTTTAACGTGATGAAGTTACTACTCATGAAGTGAGCTACTTCCTCACTGTGTGGTGCCATAAAAAGACAACAGAAAGTGCACAATTGTTATTTTACAGTTTCTTTGCAATAAGAAAAGAGATTTGCTGGTTTTCCCATCTTAGTTACTGTATCAACAATATTTTTATAATGTGTAAGTAACATACCAGTATAAATACTTCAATAGTCATTTAACTAGATGCAAGCTACCTGTCTTACTTCGTATCTCGTTCTACTGTTTATGTACCAGTTTGCTTGTCTTCACAGACCTCTGCATGTTGCTGCTCGGAATGGACTAACAGTTGTAGTTCAAGAGCTTTTAGGGAAGGGAGCAAGTGTACTTGCTGTAGATGAAAACGGTAAGAATAAATTTTACCTTTGTTTCCCCATAAGGAATGGTGGTTTTAAACTCAGCTCCCTGAAAAGCAATGACCCTTTGGGAATTTCATATGATCCTTGCAAGTAGAAAAGATAGAAAAAAGTGTGTTGTGTTGGCAGTGGGTCACTTTAGCAAAGCAACAGAATTGTAAGAGGAGTGAAAACTTTCAGAACAATGCAGGTCACGGAATAGAAATGTTTGGTTTGCATTTGTAGTTTTATAATGTATACAGTATGAATACACTAGCTCTGGCATACTGGAAACAGTAAAAAAAAAAAAAGTAATGCTCAAAGGAAAATAGAACTTTCAGCTGTTAAGCTGGATTGAATTGCCATCCATTTTGTCACGGTAGGTATTTTGGTGTTAGTTTTTAAAAGCAAGTATGAATTACAGATCTGAGTTACTGGTGTCAAGCTTCTGGCTCTTTAGATTTTTTTGGCACATAGAAGTAAGAAAAAGTAACTGCTTTATCACAGAGAATAAATCCTATACCTTTTAAGAACAAAAGAAAGTTAGATCTACTGAGTTCTTATTTGCATATTTTCACGTAAGAAATCTGTGGTCCTCCGAAGCTGTGCTTCTAAGAGCAGAAGAGCTCCTTCTCTTATGCCATACCCCAATAGGTCTTTTAACTGCAAGCGGTAGCTGGAGGTTTGTGGGTGGTTTTGTGTTTTGGGGTTTTTTTGGCCAGTTGAGGGTGGGGGGGAGAGTGTTGGGTTTTTGGTTTGGGTTGTTTTTTTTCCTAGGCGGGATATGCCTAATTAACAGTTCTAATTATATTTCCAGTTTGGAAAGTTTTTCCTCTTTTAATGTTTACAGTGACTTTCACTAAGCTGTGTAATTTGAGAAACACACAAAGTGACATGGATGATTTAAAGGTCATTCCTAAAATAGGGGACAGGGGTAACTGCTAAATGAAAGTCCCTGAAATTAAAAGATTGGAAAGCATACCTTTTGGGGGTTTATTTCTCATCACAGTATGCTAACTGGAGGGCATAAAACCATAGAACAGTTTGGGTTGGAAGGGACCATTAAAGACCATCTAGTCCAACCCCACCCCTGCAATGAGCAGGGACATCTTCAGCTAGACCAGCTTGCTCAGAGCCCCGTCCAACCTGACCTGGAGTGTTTCCAGGGATGGGGCATCTACCACCTCTCCGGGCAACCTGTTCATGTTTCATCACCCTCACTGTGAAAAATTTCTTCCTTATGTCTAGTCGAAATCTACCCTCTTTTACTTCAAAACTGTTACCCCTTCTCCTGTCACTACAGGCCCTGCTGAAAAGTCTGTGCCCATCTTTCTTATAAGCCCCCTTTAAGTACTGGAAGGCTGCAATAAGGTCTCCCCGGAGCCTTCTCTTCTCCAGGCTGAACAACCCCAATTCTCTCAGCCTGTCCTCATAGGAGAGGTGTTCCATCCCTCTCATGATTTTTGTGGCCCTTCTCCTCTGGACCCACTCCTACAGGTCCATGTCTTTCCTGTGCTGAGGGCTCCAGAGCTGGATGCATGAGCTGGACGTTGTTTATGTATTTGTGGGCTTTTCATGTGCAGCCAGCCAGTCCCTTGTTAGGGTGGATCTTTGATGTAAAAGATAAAAAAAATTATTTGTGTAGAAGTCATGGTTCTCTGGCAGCCTTGGGATCTAACATGTTAAACAATTTCTTAATTCTGTTAATATTTTAAATTTTAAGGTAACTCTAGTAACTCTGAGTGCTACCTAATGTACTTCCTCACTGTGTTGCTTAACTTTTCTAATAGCAATTGCTTTGTTTATAAAATTTTAAGCAGACTTGAGAATATCCATAATGAATTTTTTTTCTGTTGGATGAATGTGCGGGCTTGAAGTACAGTATGTGCAAAGTGATGAATATTTTGAGTTGTGAGAGAGCAAAGAAAATTTTCGTGGGATTTATCAATCTGTTTCACCTGTCACTTTCATTTTTTTCTTAATTCTTAGAGGTATTAGTATGTCAGCAGGCTTGCTAAACCTGTTGCAAAAGTTTTCTTGATTTCCATAGTATACCTTTTATATTAAATGGAAAAGCTGGCAGTAGTGATAGCCAGGTTCTGGTTTAGGTCTACTTGTCGTTGATTTTAGGATCTACTGCTAGAGTATAAGTGTTTCTAAAGGAAAAAAAAATTACATTTATTTAATTCTAAAAAATTGAAAATATAGGAGAAAGTGTGATTTTTGTTTTGTTATAAAGACTTAAAAGAGTATGATTCATGCATTTTTAGGGGTGAAAGCTATCTGTTTAGCAAAGCAGACTGAAGAAATAGGTGCTGGAATATTTTGCACCACAAAACTGACATTCTCTTTCTTTAGCATAGCTCAGATAAGTACAGTGATCTGCCATGCAAGCTTGGTGTTTCAGATAGAATTAGATGAAATTGGAGGTAAAGTTTGACTTAGTATTTTATATGGAAGCATGTCTTGATACATGGCACATGTAACCAGCAGAACCTCAGCAAGGCTGAATTGACCTTTCTACAAGCAGTCTCTGTTTCTATCTAAATCTGTATAAAACTACCTAATAGTTCTCTCCTGCTATATCTGGGCTACAGAAAATTATTGAAAAACATGAACTTTGGAAAAAAGCAACATCACTCCAATTGTCTGGATTTTGGTTTATTAATGACTTATACTTAAAACCCTAGGTTTGAAGTCATACTGCTTTTGTTATAGGGCATCTCTTAATGTGGTGAGAGCACTTTTGAAGATGTTTAAGAACTAATGTCTTTGGAAAAAATGTAATCCTCTTGGTTCTCTAAAGATCAAATGCAACTGAAACAACAAATTAACTGTCCACTATACTTCCCAAAAGTAGTCATGTTGAGGATTCATTCTCCCTTCTGTATCAATTCTCACTCAAATCTTTCAGTTCTTTTCTTGTGTTTCCACACCTGTCATCATGAAACTTTGCCATCACCTGCATCTACAAAAATGCTGTTGAATTTTACATTATTTATGCAAGTTTACCTGTCTTAAAAAAAATTTCTAGCTTTTTCTTTCATTTGACACAATTTGAAATTTTATTTTTGGTCAGTCAACCAACTTTGAAAAGTTGAAAAAAAAAAAAAACTTGAAAGTTTTTTTTTTTGTTCTGTGTTTTTTTTTCCCCTGATATTTAACTTACTTTAGGCTATCTAAATTTCCTGCTGCGGTCTGTCTTTTATTTGTTGTATTAATGTGCGCTGCTGTAGTGAGAGAAGGCATTCCCTAACTACGGAGACTGACATAGCATGGAGGTTTCTCTTCTTTTCTAGATTTATCATTACAGTGATCATTGGCCTTTCAAGATTATTTTCTTTTAAAGAGGTGGGGGGCAGTGGTATTTCTTTTTGTCTAGTTATTTTCCAAGCCTTCCTTTACTCATATTCTAGTTTACATTGGAGATCTCCAGTTCTCTGGAAGGAATTTTTCCTATAAATGCTTACAAGATGACTCATACCTCAGATGACTTTCTCTTTCCCAAGTGTAAGACTTCATTCAGTTTATCCTGAGAACTGTCTTTGTGCTGAGTGCGTTAATAACCCTCTGGTTTTCCTGTAGGCTCCCTCATGGCAACTGCCAGGCCCCAGGGGAGGGAGCAGCTCTGCGTTTGGGCTGGGGGAGCCCTGGTCTTAAGTCAGTGTCCATCACACAGGCTCTGTTTTCTGTTGTGCAAGGAAGCTGCTTCACCTCACTCTGCTTCTATTGCCCTATCTACAAATGAAGATAGTAATTTTTTATTTTGTTGTTGTGTGGAGGTTTATGCAGATACAAGTACAGATCATGGGGAGCATTATCGAGAACTGAGTAAGAGTATTTCAGTGGAGTCGGTACATTTACCAACATCATCTTAAAAGAAAATTTAGTTATACCTATTGTTGTCCCGACATAGGAATGATCACTTTGCAGCTAAGGGACATAAAAATATAATTTGTTCTTATCATTTTAAAATAGTATAGACAGAAATAAAACGGTGGAGGATGCAGATGTCAATCTTCCATGGTGCCAGCAGTTACTTCATCTTTCTATGTCTAAGGCAAGAATAAAACTGTGATATTTCATTCCTACTTAAAAAAGCCAGGAGCTTAAGACCTACAATTGAATATTAATATAAACACTTTTTTTAGAGAACTTTTAACAGAAGCAAGTAGTCTGTTTAATCTTTACATTGTATTTTAATTTTTTTATGATGAACTATGATGCTCTGTTCCAGAAAGAACGTAAGTATAAGTATTCAAGGTCTTAGCAAGAAGCAGCCTTTAAAAAAGGGGGGGGGGGGGGGCCCCTAACAAAAAAAAACCCTAGAAGGGTAATGGGTGACTGCTCGTTTTTCATCTTTCAACTTTTATCAAATCATGTTAGTGAAAGATATGGTGTTGAATATGGCAAGCTTGAGTAAACTTATCTTGTGTGTCATTTTACCTTCATACAATCTTCAGCAACTGTAGATATTTGCGTGCATTTGAGTATCAATTCTAAGCCTTCCGTTCAGCCTTACATGTCTGAAATGCAGTCTTCACCCAAGGGTAGCAAGCTCTGGCCCTCTGAATCCTCTCAAAACGTATCGCTTCTGCAGACTGTCACTGTTAACTCTGAGCTGTTTGACTGCTGTGGTACATTACTAACAATGAAAACACTTGCTGCGCTGCACTTCTGTACGGCCCTGTCGCATGGTCAGCTGGTGCGTTTTGCGCTTGAACTACCCGTGCGTTTCCTTGAGTGTATGCTCCTTTGGGCTGGGGCTGTTTTCTTACTCCGTTCCAAGCATCATGCACAAGGGCTGTCCTGAGCAAATAATAGTTCAACTGCAAGACTGTCCCCTGCTTGCTGTTTTCTTAATTTCTAGCTACGATTATTTTTCAGAATGTGTCTACTTGTCTAAAACTTCTGTGCAGTTGTACAACATGGTAACTACTCCTGAGCTCTGTCCTAAAACTTGACCTGAATCTGCTTCTACAAAAAATGTTATTCCTTAATAGTTGAAATGCTTGCTGATAGAACAGGCATTGCCTCATTTTCCATGCCTTCCTAAGGTCTGGATAGAAATCCATCGTGTGGTTTGCTTTAAAGCCATCTGTTATTGAAAATTACTTGTGTGCTTTTTACCTGGATGTTGTACACCTTTAAGTTGTGGACTGGGGGTAGCACAGGACTTCAGACTCCCAAATGTACCTGAACACGAGTCTTTCTATTCAGCTTGTTGTGGGCATATCGTCCGCGTGCAGCGAGAGATACCACAAGGGTCATCTGGCCACTCGGTTCCTCAGAGTAGAGGGAACTTAACTTTGGTCTTGGCAGCAGAATTAGCCATTGGCTGTGGTTGTACTTACATGACCGGCATGCTTTTGGAGCTGCTGTTGTCACCACCAATTGCAGTGCCTCGGTGTCACAGATATACCCTGAGACCTGTGCCAAAACTTACCCTCAGGTGCCTTGCTGAATGATGAAGCCTAAAGCCAGAGACAGGAGCAGTGCACGGATCTCCACTGAGGAGAATTTGAAGCGTTTTTCTTGATATTCAAATGAGTAGAGGCAAGCACATAGGGAAGGGGGAAGCTGCGAAATGAGAAGTGTTGGAGGGTTATTAGAGCCACAGCTACCCAGAAGAGATTTCACAGCTACATGGCCTGACTGCAAACCATTCCACAGCCCAAGACCTCCTGCATTTTGGGGGATGGCACAGTAGCATTGCCTGGCAGAAGGAGTTTAGGCTGGACAGGCAAGAGGTGTAGTTTCTCTCTGCAAGTCCTAGCCTACTAATCCAGCTGCCATTTTCTCAAACTTCTGTGGATTTCTTAATTGATATCCCTTAAATAAAAGCTAGACATTGGCTTTATAGTTTATATTACTGTATCTTGTCATAAAGTATAGGTCAACTGAAATTGTATAGTCTGCCTTTTCAATTAACTGGCCCTGATGCTTTTAGCCAGCTTGTTACTGAGATAGGACAGTCGTATTAAAATAACTGTCTGTGGTGAACAGCTATATGGAAGCTTCTGGATGAAGAAATATTTAACATGTTGAGCTGCAGTTTCTGCAGTGGGTCTCTAGTGAATTCCTTCACCCGTCGCTGCCATTAGTTGTCTCTCCTTAGCCAGGTGACTTCCTCACCATTGTCAAATCCAGACTTTTCTCCCTGGCCTAGAGTGTCTGACTGTGCTTAACAAAACAATTACATCTCTGTTCCGAAGCCCACTTAGTTCTGGGTTGATTTTGTAAGTGAAAGTTAAAAACTTCTAATTGAGAATGCATTTAACTCTGTGTTCTTTTTTTAAGCAGTGCAGAACTAAGCCATATAAAGTACTTCAGCAGAAAGATGACATGATCTTGGAGAAATTTTTACATTGGCTTTATTTTAAATGAAGGTTTTGTTTTTTCTTGACTTTCTAGGTTACACACCAGCTTTGGCCTGCGCGCCCAATAAAGATGTGGCTGATTGCCTAGCTCTCATTCTGGCCACGATGATGCCTGTTTCATCGAGCAGCACATTACCTTCCCTTACTTTCAACGCCATTAATCATTACACCAACACCTCAAAAACTGTCACCTTCGATTCCTTGCCGATCATGAGGAGTGACCATAGCTCTTACTGTACTTTCAACAACATTGGCAGGGAAGGTGGCTACCCGTATACAGAAGAAGACGAACTCAATGACTCAGATTCCGAGACCTATTAGCAGCTACATTTTGTAGGTCTGAAGAGTGAATCCTCACACTGGAAGGTCAGACTTGTGCTTTTGAAAAAAAAGCTATCAGTGTTTGAATACAAAACGAGGACAGACCTTTGAGAAGATGTTTTTTATTGTGGTTGCATACAAAAAAAAAAAAAATCTGTGAGACTCTAGGAGGATTTTTTAAAAGCATATTTTGCAGAAGAAGCATAAATTCTTGAATAAGTACTTGGAATCCATGGCAAAAAAAAAAAAAAAAAGAATGTCAAAACTGTTTTATTTAACTGTGTTCTACCATTCTATTTCTGGTGCCAGGAGTAATTTCTGGAGACTGGGCACCCTACTTGATGTAAATGAACAACACTATTGTACAACACAAAGGATGCTAGATTTAAATATTATCAATAAAACTAAAACAATTTTGAAGGCAATAAACGAGTTTGGTACAGTAGGCATTGTTTGTGCTGCAAATTGCCAAAGGACCAAATAACTTAAAGATTTTTTTTTTAACTAAATACGTTTTTGTGAAAACTGGAATAGGTTATTTGAGAAGTTGTTTCAACCAAACCTTAATTACTTCTGGAAAAGAAGCTTAGATTTGGTTTTAAATATTGATTTTTTTTTTTTTTTTTAAATCATCTGAAAGCCTTCCGACACTATTAAATGTACCATGAAAGAAAGCAGATGTACTTTTAAGTTTTGTTTTCTTTTTCTTTTAGGTGAAATGAACTTGTCATACTTTTATAATACTAAAATTAAACCAGCTAACAAGGTGAAGTCAGGGTGAAAAGTGTACAGTGTAATAAACAAGGGAAGGGGTGGGAGACATGGGAGGGAAGGAGTAATTGTTGCACAGTTTTAGATTTTTTTAACTTTTGCGTTTTGGATTGAGATTTTTTTAATTTAAAAATACATGAGTAACTTGGAAACTATGAAACTGCATAAAAAATTGAGATGTCTTGACAACCCTGTTGTGACTGAGAGTTCTTTTCAATAATTTGTCCACTTCCTTACATCATAAATTTGTATGTAAGATTAAAATTGTATATCCCTATCACTTTTCTTTTTAAATCCTGAATTTACAAGGCGGAGAGGTGAATTTAAAAGTATATTACCCTATTAGAGAAAAAAGTACAGTGTCTGGTCTGTGGGAAGAGCTGTGTATCTTTGTTGTGCTCCATTTAGAAAATAAACAACAGAAACAGGTCCCTGTAATGTAGTTCAGACTTGCCCGAATTTTATTTTTTTTTAATTTATAACAGACTACTGTGGGGTATTTTAATTGCCTGAAGAATGAAAAACTGACATAAGTAAGCTGAAGTTTTGTCTGTTAAATATGAATATTTACTTTATTTGGCTCTGCTTTAACTATAACTGTTACTTTTCAAGTGAATTTGTTTATGTACATGCAAGGAATCCTTGCATGTCCTGGTAAAGTACAAATAAATTACTACAAACTGACTCCAATTTCCTTTTTATCCTTTTTGTATTGTGAAACTGGAAATCTTTATGATATTGTAAATTATCAACTGGTTTTCTGAACATAGTGTGGAAACACGGGACAATATTTTGATCTATTTGATAATTGTGTGGGTTTTTGAAGAATTAATGAGCATGTACATAGAAATAGTGACTGCTTGAATACTGTACTTACCTGCACTCTTTCAGTACTTCAAGATTCCTGTATATTTTACGGAGTATAATAAAACCCAAATGTGAGTTCTACTAATGAATAATTTATTTGTATCTACTAAGCATTAATGACAAAATCTCTTTTGTTGAACTGTTAGAATTTATAAAATCTGCTTCACAAAGGCTTTGCCAGTATTTTAATTCTAAAGTGAAGGTGAGCTACTCAAATTTAAAGTAATTTTAAATGTTGAATTACTTCACTATTCCTTTAGGCTTCCTTTTAAGTATAACTTTCTTAACCATCTGTGCCTCTCTTCATTTTTTGTATATGTTTGTCTGTGAGCAGAATTAGATGACTTCAGGGAGATGGTGATTTCTCTATTTTCTTCCTTCTGAATCTTTCAAGCATGGGGCCTTGTGTGAGTGCTGTACGCGCCTCAGCTGAGCAGGCAGGCAGCACTCGAAAGCGCCGTATTGGCCTGTCTTGACGTTCACGGCATCTGTTCACACACGAAGGTTGGAGCAGCACGGACCCGTTTTTCCTCATACACTTGTGGAAAAACTGAATCGGAATGCCAAGTAGCATGCCTGTTATTTAAAAGGTGACAATTGCATATTTCTGTTTAATGAAACTGTCCCATTTTTGTTGCTTCAAAGGAACTGTGAGAAGATGATCTTTATAGGCCTTTATTATCTGTGTTTCTATTTGACTTCAGGGTGACCTGTTACCTAAGTGTGTGGTGTCGGTACTCACAGGGCAGTTTATAGGAGGGGACACTCTCTCTTACTTGAAAAATGAGCAAGGCAGCAGAGACTGAGCTATTTGCATCTGCTGTGTGCCCGGATGACAGCAGGAGAAAAAGCTCTGGCGGTGTTGGTTTAAAAGTTAAAGATTTGGATGTGGAATACAGGCAAATGCAGGATAGAGTGCTGTCGAACGCCTTTGTTTGCTTACATCAAGTGGAATTCGTGCCCCTCTTCCAGTTCATTACTACTCTTTTTCTTGAGGAAGAAAACTTTTTTCCTCAAGAAAAAAATAATTGCATTATTTTTAAGTTAAGTTTTGTAAGCTTTTTAGAGCTAAAGGTCTCTCCTTATTGCAAACCTTATTCCCATTTAGGAATTCAGAGTTACATGATTTGTGTATCTCATCTATCTCATCCTTAGAATTTATTCAGTGAGCCTGTAGATTGCAATTTGCGTGTATTTGGTTGTTCCTATTAAAAAAAAAAAACCACCACACACAACCCAACCTCCATTACTACCTGGCAGTATGGGTAGGACAGTGATTGTGCCTTGTAAGTGATAATTGGGACTATTATTAGGATATGGCCTTACTCCAAAAATGGAACGTGATTTGTTTAAAGAACATGCTACTGTGGTCGGAAACCACTTTCTTAATGAGAGGTCAAGGAACAGAAAGTTCCTTGTTTCTGTACAACAAATAATGTCTGTGGCTGGCTTTTTAGCTGAGAAAAAAAGGAAAAAAGTGTTCATACCTCAGTGGAGGCCTGTTCATTTCCAGAAAATGATACTGGAACCTCCATTTTGCTAAAAGAAATCCTCCTCTTTGTACAGATGAATAGGGCACAGTTATTGTTATGACCTTCATCCAAACAATCTCTTGGATTTTCAACAAGAAAGAGCAGTGAGCCTTGGCTGGACCACTGAAGCAGTATATTAGAATAAAAGAAGCCCTTTTTATCCTGGAGGGGGAAAAAAAATCGACTGGACTTCAGGAGTGAGGACAACCAGCTCTGCTCAGCTTTCTGTGTACTCTGACTTCTGGGATGTTTTATGTGTTTTTCAGTTCTCAGGATAAATGTTCTGCAGGAGAAAACACCAAGTTGGTTAGTATTATAAAGTATAGTGTGGCAGCATAAATGCTGGATGCTGTTAAAATGAAGAATCAGTCTGTCTTCCTCCCCACCCCCTGCCCAAAATTGTCCCTACTGTAATCAAAAAGATTTTTTGTGTCATTTCTTACAAAACCTTGACCTCTGTGTGTCTCTTGCTTTGTGTTTACTCCTATTACTCTTTATTGCTTCCCCATGCTTAGATATCTCCAAAATAATCATATAAATATATTTGGAACAATCAGAGCTAGAAATAGGCACTTTTTAAAGTTGTTGGTTGTTTTTTTTCCCCAGTTGTATATTTTCTTGTTTAAAATTCTCACTTGTCTGCCAGGCTAAAAAATTAATAAATGTTTGGTTAAAAAAACTCAATATTTTAAAACTAATTACTTCAAAGTTTTCTTCCTTTTAACATCTACACAAAGGGCACTAAAGGTCTCAAAGCTGTATGGAAGATGACTAAAGGAGTATAAGAATGTTTACAGATTCTTCAACCCAGTAATTCTGGGTTTGAGAGAAATTAGCCTTCCTGTCTTGCCCAGAGATTATGTCCATTTAAAGGCAACAACTACTGTAGTAAACCAGAACAACATACTCTATATTCTAGTTTACAAAAAAAAAAAAAAAAGGTGAGAGAATGTTCATTAAATCCAGTCGGTTCTGGTAGCTCAGCTTCGGGGGGGGAGGGGAGTGTCAAAAACAAAACCCCAAAAAAACAAAAAACCCTTTCTGTTAATCGTACAATAACTGGGTGAGAGGATAAGCCTGTAGAAAGATTGTAAGCAACATTGTCAAGCATATACTTGTGAGAAGTATCTCCATGTGCATGATCATGGAACACTTTTAACAGTGCTAGATGTGTCCAGGGAGCCCATACTACTTACTAATTCCATGTTTGGATCAGTGAGGTTCACATCTTAAAAAATGAAACCTAAATAAAAAGGGTAAGTGTTGATGGAAACAGCAGTTCTGGAGAACTAGAGGACATGCTGCTTGGGCTCAGAGTATCACAGGGTGGGTGAGGGAGCTCTGTGGGCTTCCCCAGCTGCAGCTGGAGGAGCAGCAGGAGGAGCAACCTCCTCATCTCCCAGCACTTTGCTCCGTGCCTCTCCTGATGGTATATACCCACTTTCCAAAAGAAATGCCATTGTGCTTTTGGTTAAAAAGCACTGATTCCTGATAACAATTAATTCCTGATAATCCAGTCCTGGTTGGAATCAGACTAATAACCTTTATAATCTCTTAAGTAGTTTAAACTTTTAACACCACCTCCATAGGTCTGGATTTAAACTCAGTAAAATTCATTTTAATATCAGGAAAAAGTAAGTATTTAAATTCTTGAAGTTGGTCCAGCAAGTTCATCTAAATCCTTAAATCCAACAGTGGTAATTATTGCGTCTTGTAGTAATCTCTCTGATTTGTGATAACTTTATAATTGTCCTGGTTTCAGCCAGGGTAGAGTTAATTTTCTTCACAGAAGCTCGTGTGAGGCTGTGTTTTGGATTTGGGATGAGAAAATGTTGATAACGTGTTTTGAGTTGTTGCTAAGTAGTCAAGGACAGTCCAGCTTGTCGTGCTGGGCTGCCACCGAGCAGGCTGGGGGTGCGCGGGGAGCTGGGAGGGGACACAGCCAGGACAGCTGACCCAGGCTGGCCGAAGAGATACTCCACACCATATAACGTCATGCTCAGTATATAAAGCTGGGACGAAGAAGAAGGAGGGGGTGGGGGGATGTTCGGAGTTACGGCATTTGTCTTCCCAAGAAACCATTACGTGTGATGGGGCCCTGCTTCCCTGGAGACGGCTGACCACCTGCCTGCCCATGGGGAGTGGTGAATGGGTTCCTTGTTTTGCTTTGCTTGTGTGCGCAGCTTTTGCTTTACCTGTTAAAAGGTCTTTATCTCAAACCATGAGTTTCCTCATTTTTACTCTTCTGATTCTCTCCCCCGTCCCACCATGGGGGAGTGAGCGAGTGGCTGTGTGAGGCTTAGTTGCCGGCTGGGGCTAAACCACTGCTGCAGAATATGCTGCAGAAGCTGAT